AGGGAGACATTTTTAGAAAAGTCTGAGCACTAATATATTTAATTTGACAGGCACCAAAGTGACCCAGTTTGGCAGGCATCATGAAGCAGTTTCCCATGGCTAGAACCTCTTGGTTTTGCTTGGAGAAGGGGCAAGTGGAGAAGAAAGGGCATGGATGGACAAACTCAGGAAAATGTCTCCTGTATGGCTGAAAATTAGCAGCTTCACGTAAAGAAGTGTGGGAAGCAGACAATTCAAGACAGTTTAAAAAAGGATGGGAAAAATAGAGAAGTGTTTAGAGAGAGGGGGGATTGTTTTGTTTTCTTTTGACAAATGATTTTATGTACTTAATGCTTATAAAGAAGAAGTTTCAAAGACCAAGATGAATTGTTTGCAGAAGAGACTAAGAGAGCGCGTATGGACAAAATCACAGAGAACAAGGCACAGGGAAAAAAATATTCAAACTATTAAAAGACATGAAGAACAACATGAAATCACTTTAAAGAAATGTTAGGAGGAGGAACAAAGAAATACATGTAGAATTTGTCAACCACGAACAAAGGAAAGCTATTTACAGAGGGAATCCCCATCATTCCAGGGGCTTTTCTGAAACAAGCTTTACTTAAAATGCCACCTTGCAAGCAAATGGTCAGCACAACTAGTGCACTTGAGAAAAGAGAAAATTTTCAGACAGACAGGGTGTGAGGAACATTAGCTGAGGGTGCTGAAAGAGCTGGCTCAATCAATTGAAGAACTATTAGCATTCATCTTTGTGATCCTAAAGAGGAGGAGTAAGCTACTGCAAGACTGAAAAAAGATCAGCATAGTGCAGTTCTTTAAAGAGAGAAAAAAGGGCTAGCTGGGAGATTTATAAATCAATCAGATTAAGTCCAGTTCCTGCAGAAACAAATCAAACCATTTGTCAGAATCAGGACGATAACAAGGAGATGAGATGCAGTTGGTGGTAGATTTGTTAAGAGGAAAGCATGCCAAAGAAATATATTTTATTTCTACAGCAGGCAACAAACCTTCTGGAGGTAAGGGATGGTAGATACCATCGATCTCAGACAAAGTAAGGTTTTCAACACTGTTTTACTCACCGGCCTCAAGAACAAGCTAGGGAAAAATCTTGTTAAAGCTTTTTTCATGCAATAGGGAAGCAGATGTTGAAGGGGGACTGTATCCAAAGAGTGGTCATGCATGGAATGATCTCAATATGTAAGGATGTACTGATGGGTGCTGCAGGGCCTGCCCCAGGACCCATCTTGTTCAATATTTTCATTAATTAACAAGGTGACAGAATTGGGAATAAGTTATTAAATTTTCAGGTGAGATGAGGTTTGGAAGGACTGCAGTCATACTGAGTGACATGCTCAGAACCCAAAATGATTTTAAGAAATGCAGAAAAACTACCTGGACATCTGGTATTCAACCACAAGAAGTACACTCTTCCTAAGCTTAGGTGGAATTTATCAACTGCTGAATTCATTTATGAAATTCTTTAAAGAAATATAGTGAATCCGAGGGTCGCGGACTACTAGCTGAAGATGGGCAATGAAAAAGGCAAGCACGTTGTTGGAAGAGTTTAACAGGAGAATGCATTACAGACTATATCCCACGTAATCCTTCCTCTCAGTACCTTGCTCAGCATTAGTAAGGTCTCAGCTATGGCACTGTGTCCAGAATTTTGCAATACAGGTACCAAAGGTCAGAGGAAGGACAGAATGACCAAGAGTCAAATAAAAACATTTCACAAGGAATGCACTACCTATTTTTTCTCCCATTGGAAGAAGAGCCTGCGCTGTGGTGGATAGATCCAGAGGTAACAGGTTTAAATCACAGTGAAGCAGGTTCATGTTGAATGTTAAGAGGCTCTCCAGTGGGAAAAATAAAATACTGATACAGGCTGCCAGGAGAATTGTAGTCTTATCACTGGTTATCTTTAAGGCTGTTAAACAAACTCTGTAAGAAGCAGCACTGATGGAGCCCATTGGTCTTAGGACCCAGGACATTGAACTAGCTGACCTTCTGAGCCATCCTCCTGATTCACTTGCCAAAAACCCCGACTCCAGAAGATTTTCTGTCTGAACAAACATGTGCATTGAGAAGAGGAAAGCAGAGCCATACTTGCATCCTCTGAGCTGCGTGCTGCAGGTAATGCAGAAGCTCAGGGCTGTTTCCCCTTCTTTCACTCACACGTTGACATTTTGGGCCAGTCAGGCTGTTCTCCACTCCTTTCTGCATTTAAATAATCAAGTCTCCTGTTACATTAACCAAATAGAACCCAGAAAAGGTATTTTTTTTCAGAAGTTCCTAGATGAGAACATAACACAGAGGGTTGCATTTTGACTGCTGTCTCCAGGTATTAGGAAATGCATACAAAATTTGTGCCTAAGGCTTTGGAATACTATCTAGGGAAACTAGAGTAGGTAAGGATGTCTCAGTATCAGGCCTGTAAACCAAGCAGCAACTCCTCTGAATGCCGTGAGCACCATGTTCATTTCATGTCCCATGCAGAGTTTGGAAATAAGGGTCCCTCACCGTGTCTGTGAGAGGACACATCACCTTCCCTTGCTCTCAGCTGCTGTTATCTGAGAGGCTGTAAACAAATCCTCAAGAAAAAAACAAATCCTCCAGATTTATTTTTAGCACAGGAAAAGAATAAAACAATATTGACCTGGGAGCAAATCATTTCTCTTTCTCCCTTTGCTTGAGTACCAGTCACTTCTCTGTATCTGTTGTCGCTGTGGTGCCTGAACCACTCATTGCAGCAATCCTCGGCTCCCTCTCAGGTGGCTGCTACAGCCCAAGGACGATTTGTCTTCTGGGAGTGCTTGTTGTTACTCCAAACTGACAGAAAATGAATGGGTTGACTGAAAACGAATGCAAGCAAAGGATTGTTGGAAGACAGCAAAAGAATTTTCAAGAATTCAGAAAATTTGATAAAGCCAAGAATCCAGATACAAACCAATGCTCACATTCAGAAGAGGCCCAAGCTCAGCATGGGACCTGAGCTACTAAATGAAGCACACACAGGGCAAACAAATTATTCAGTTCTGTCGGGTTTGGAAAGCAACTAAGAACTGCCTAACACCTTATTCTGAGTCTTATTATTCCAAGTCCAGTGTAAATCACTGGAGCAGTAGAGCAGCATACTAATCCCCCCTTTTGGACGCACACAGATCAACTCCTGAAAGCAAAGTCAATGGCATAGATTTATCACAGGGATACACGCTATCCTGTGGCATAATCAGGAGCTAAAGGGAATCAGCATCACGTACAGCCCTGTCTTTGCTGGAGTCACCAGGCTCCCATCCTTACGAACACTCTCTCACATGGATGATACCACTTTTCTCCTCCAAGGAATTTTTTTGTCTTTTACTTGGAAGTATTTAGGCTTTGCTCTCTGCAAGCAGTGCCAGAGCAGTGCTGTCCTGGCTGGTGTGCCTGTAAAATATGTGTTTAGCATGTGTCCAAACCAACCTGAGCTTGGAGGCAGAGACAGACAGAGCAGCTTCTCCGTGGATCCAAATTCTGCATAAGAATGATTAAGCTGAAAGAATGAATCCTTTCCCAGCTGAGAGATATCTGTGGTTATTAATAGAGATTTTCAGCATCTTAAATACAACCTTGCAATATCCAAGTCCTGATTTAAGCATTTATAGCTCTACCTAGATATGAAAAATATCCAGACACGTTTTCAACAGCTGCAGTTCTACCACATCTAACTCAAACACAGACCACACTGCCTTCTATGTAAGCAAGTGCTCCAGCCCTGGCACACTTTTTAATTCTGCCCCAACAGCCAAGAGCCCTTCTCAGTGCTGCTGTCCCAGCTATCACGCAGTCACAGACAATTTAACAGGGCATGCCTACCAAAACCAGCAATAAACCCAAACATAGGCGAATAGAACAGCTGTGTGCGTGTTACAGCTCGGCGCTGCCCAGAGTTAAGGAGTTGATTTTTCACAGACCCCTGTCTCTGAAATCAGGCCACCAGGCTCAGCAGCTGTGCACCACAAACCTTCGCTGTCTCAGCTACCAGAGGTTCTCCTTGATTTACTGCTAGAGGCTCAAGGATCCGGAGCACAAAACTTCACTTGCTGCCACAGCAAAACTCAAAGTGTCAGGGAGCAAATAACACGACCAATGGCAGCAAAATTACATTGTATTTATGATTTGCTGTGCAAAGCAGTAACTCTAACCAAGCACAAGCACTCCTATTTTCCTTTATGGTCTAATCTATACGTTCTTGCACACGAACACCACCTCAGTAACTAAAAGGTATTTGAAAACAATGACAGTGTATTTGGCTCCAAACATAGAAATCTCTCTCTTATTTTATCAAAGTCTCCAGCTTGGGAATTCAGTCGCAAGAAAAAGCTTTTAAGACAAACGATTTCTCATGACAATAAGGCTACAATGAACACCGCTGTGCTGCCTGCTGTTACCAACTGGAAGACGGGCTCAAAAGGCAGAAAATGCAGGGCTTCAGAAGCCAGTGCCTCAAAAATGATTCCATGCTCAGCCTAGTCACACTGAGGGGCAGATCTTCACACACATTTGAAAGAGCCCATGAGAGAAACCACATGTGAGAAACCACAGGACAATAAGAAACATCAAAAGTTGTCCTACAGATTTAAAAGAAACCAAAACAATGCTCCCTGCCACTCACCAGGTCGGGTTGCCCAGGGCCTTGAACGCCTCCAGGGATGGGGCATCCACAGCTCCCCTGGCCAACCTGTGCCAGTGCCTTACCTCCCTCTGAGTGAAAATCTCTGTGTTGGAAAAGAAATTCAAGCTTTTGAGTTAAATCCTCACATCCCTAAATTTAGAGGGGGTATAGAAATTAATATTCACTGAAAATCTGGCCACAAGGTGTGCAGATAATCAGCCTCTGTAGAGAACACCATATGCTCAGTCTAACAAGCTGCGTCTCCTTTTCAGGATCTTTGACTTACCAGCCAAAGCAGAATTAAACGAGGTGCAGCAGAGCACGGGGCACACAGCACAGTACATACCTGCAGCCCCCAAGCCAGCCTGCAGTTTAAACAAGCACCATTTTAGGTCCCAGGAATGCCTGATCAGACAGGTCTGCCTCCTCTTTGGGTGGGTTTCTTACAAAGAGCCCCAGTCAGTGCTAAATAAAGCAGGCTTGCAGCTGTGAGCTCTTTCCTCATCAGCACAGCGAGCAGGGTGAGGGAGGCGCCCTGAATTTCACAATACCTTTCTATGCAAAATGCTGAGCTTGTATGTGTGGCCCCTCCTTGCTTTGGATGTTTCCTTCTCCTCCACAGCACGACTCCAAGAGGCCTCTCGGTGGCCTTTCCAAGCCTTAATATCAACATAGCAGTTATCTCGTTACACCTGAAGGATAATGCTATAATAGGGACTTGGGCTTAAAGGAAATTAAATGCAAGTCTTATGTGTGCAAAAGAGACAATCTTTTGTTTGGTAAGATGCACGCTGCACTTAGCATTGTTAGCGAGCAATTACTTTAGAGGCTTCAACAGCCTCGTTTATCCTCGGATGACACAACTCAGGCTTAGTGCTCAGTGCTAAGCTCACATTTAATAGCAGGATTTTTACTTCTCCCTTCCAAGATTTTGCAAGTGCTGAAAGCGAGAAGCCCCATGAACTTCCCTAGGCAAAGAGATGCCATCCCGTGCTCCTTGCCCCAGGGCTTTTACAAGTGCCAAATCCCAGCAGTACTAAAACCAAGACACAGTTACCCTTGTTACCAAACTGGCCTTGTTTAGACCAGAATGATCCCACAACCAGCACGTTGCTCTCTATACTGAGAGATTTGTTTTCAGGTCTCTCTCTCCTGCAGACGTCTTGTGCAGTTTGGGGCCAGTCACTTAGGATGACGAGCACATGTAGCCCATCCATAAAACAACAAGAATTACACCTTTTTCCCCAGGAGATTTATCCTCCTGAGATACTCCAAATTATGAGCTGATGGTGACCTAAGAAGGATCCCAGTCAACCAGAAGAATTTTGTTTTTAACACTGATCGGGGGCCAATTACAGTGAAGTGTTAAAAAGCAAGAGCTATCTTGTAGTTGTGCTTTTCTCTCTGTAAATATCTCTACTATCTATGAGATTTGTTACACGGGAAATCATTCCCCTCCCTTTCTTATTCTGGGATGCAATTATCTTCCGATATTAAGATCACGTTAGCACACACTCCTGCCCTGCTCCTCTCCTTGCTTCCCAGAGCGCGGCACCTATAAACAGTCATTTCCTTGTCATTGGGGCCCGATAAGAGCTATTTTAAATGCTGAAGACTTCAGCTTACTCTCAAACAAAGGTTTCTGCGCCAACACGAGCGAGTTAGCCAGACTGCTCGAATCCCCTATTCCCATCTCATGAGACCCGTGTGTCTTTTATCATCTCAGAAGTGCCAATCCAACACACCTAAAGCTGGCAGGCGCCTGCACCGCTGCCTGCTGGCATCCCCCTCCCAAGGGAGCCACCTGGAACAGCGTCCAGAGGCAGGCAGGGTTTAACACAGCATCCCTGGTGAAGGGCCATGCACTTAGGGTGACATTTGGCCCTCAGAGTTTCATGCTGACAGCTCAGCTTGATTTATTTTGCCATCCTTCCACTCCCCTCCTGGTTGTGAGCACTTGTGTGGTTTCCCCAGCAAAGGAGCACCTGGCCTTTGGTTTTACCGGGGACCAGAAATTCAGCGCTCACCCTGGCTGCTCAGCTCTGTCATCGAAGTATTGGGAGAATATTAACCTTCTCCAACCCTCCTGCGAACAGAATCCTCACTAGGCAGTAGAAACGCTATGATTTGATTAATGCTAAGCATGGGGTGGTTATGGAAGGAGCGGTTCTTGTAAAGAAAATCAGCTCTTTCTTGTCAGTAAATGAATGCTAATGCTCTCTCCCTATTAAGGCAGACTACCTCTTTAAAACTTTTATGTCTTCTATATATCATGTTTTTGGAAGAAAGTTTTGCTATTTAAATAGCTGCCAGAGTGTTACGGGCTTATATGATTCCAATTTTCAGTACTTCATAAATCAGCAGACCTAAGATGCATGGGACAGCTGAGGCTTTAAATTGACGTCCTGTCTTTTTATGAACATTAAAATGCTTGAACTCATGACATATTTACACAGAAGTATCCCTGCTGCCTTGGCCAAATTGTTCCCGAAGCATAAAGTACTTTACATGAGTGAACATAATGACGACAACCTGCAGACTTGTCCATTAAATTACCAAAGTGTCACAGCCAGGCCGGAGGGGTCAGCTTAGGATCAGGAGAGAGCTCTGCAGCGCCTGTTGCTGCCATATGAAAACGGTGGAAGTGGGCAAACCATCAATAAGACCACAAAATAAAAACCACACACAGCAAACCCACGGGCAGAGGTGACCTTGGAGATGGGGTATGATATGTCCATCTTCATGCAAATGAGCTTGCAGAAGGCTGGGGCATCCCATGGCCCAAATCAACACGTGTTGGCATGGCGCTGTTTCATCACTAGATTCACTCACGTCAGAAACATCCGAGAGCCTGTATCAAGCCTCTCCCTCAGCTCCCTCGAGTAGATGGAAGAAATCTCTCCCCAATGACATCCTGGGTGGGTTTTGCCACTGCCTCCAGCAGATCCTTGGCACTACCAGAGTCTTGGAAGATAGCATATTCTCTTCTGAGTAGATAAAGGTGACTATGGAAAGATACTGAATTGAGATTTTTTAAATTTATTTTTAAGATGGAGATGAAAGGAAAATGTAGAAGCATTCACCTTCAAGAAGCTGAAGGATCTGGTATCTCTTACTGAAGAGTGAGTAAGTCAGGGAGCAGTGGAACATGCCCTGAGAGAAAACGCCAACAGACTCTGAAATCCAACTTGTTCTTACCCAAAATGTTTCAAATGATTAGGCTTATTTTCCATGATAAAGTTTGTTTGTTTTGTTTGTTTGTTTGTTTTAATATACAAACACACGCACATATTTATATACACATACCCCAGAAACATCTGTACAGAGAGAGACATATAAGAGCAAACACTGGGTGCTGGGGAATCCCAGTTCAGGTTTCCTCAACTTTTCCATCCTGCATTATTTTGAATGAAGATAAAATCGGTACAATTGTACGGACCTCTGAGCAAAACAGACTGACATCAACACCACAGAGCAGGACCCAACAAACGTGAGCTATCTTCAAAGGCCAGGTACACATGTTCTTCTTCTAATTTACTTGTATCCTGCATCTCTTTGCAATGGCAAATGCCTTTTCTGCCTGTAGCTGACAGGATTACCTGTGCAAGCATCCTGAGTAATTGGAAATGCACAAACCTCTGAAGGTTCGAAGAGCACATCTGAGTGCAGAGACACAACACAGGGCTGGATGCAATCAACCCCATTTCTAGAAGAGACAAGAGACTTTCTTGTAAAACTCACTATTCTGATAGCACAGCTTCAGTCAGTGCTCTGGCCCACATCCTCCACATACATATGTACACAAGTAACTTCATCGAGCTCAGGAGCTTTGCTAAAGAAATAGGGATTGCTTACATGCATACAGCAGTGGAGGTTTCTTAAAACTGCTAGTATAAATGTTCTGGAAAAGAGGGAAGGCTGACAAGCACATGACAAACTTTCATGAAGCAGAGCACCTTTTGAGGTTCGTGGACATTGCAACTTCCCCTCAGGATCACAGTTTATTGCATGCAACTGCAGTGAGTCAGATCTTTTCAAGCTTTTGCCTCCAAGTCCCTTTTTTGGGCAGCTCTTTTTGCACAGCCAGTGACTAAACATTTATAGATGGGGATCTACCAGTTCCCTCAGCAGAAACATGATCTTCAGCACCTCACAGTTCAGTTCAGCCACAAATCAATCTGATACATTTCAAGAAGAATCAGAGCTGAACATCTACATATATTACCTAACTGGGCTGGCCAGCTTTTAATTACTACGTACCTCCTAGAGAGGCTGGAGCCAGGTATTTCAGAGCTGCTTTCCAATCAGAGGGCATCAGTCCACTTCTCACCATGAAAAAAAATAAGCAAATAAGCCAGGAAAAAAATCATCACATCATTGGAAACAACCCCAGGAGGCAGATGACAGCCTTAAATGATGTGACTCCTACTGGCTGTCTGTGAAACGATACCAAAGAAATTATTTGGTTATTAAAAAGCACCAAGTGAAAGCAAGCACCCTCTGGACTTAGTTGCTGGCTCTAATCAAATAAACATTGAGGCACATCCCTTATCACTCAGCCACACACTTTAAAACCTGAAAGAACAAAACTAATCAGCATTAATAATAAACTCTAACTTGCTCCTGGTAAGCCTCACTCACTTTTTAGTTATAGTTCCCCACTTAATAAGGTATTGCTTAAAGAAATCATACCCTCCCTCTCTCCTCCTGCCAACAAGCACTGCTAACAGAAGACATGTAAAATATTATGGCTATCATTATTGTCCTTGTATGAGCCAGCCATCCTGAATAGCTTCCCTTCCCTACAGCAACAGAGCTGAGTGGTTACAGCCAAGAGAAGAGGGAAGAGCAAGCTCTGCTATTAGTTACGCTCGTGCAAATGCCAGCAGAAGCCGAGCTTGTCGTTACATCGGTGGAATTACTGTTACAACCAATTCATCTCCTGGTCAGGGTGTGAGTTCATTTTTCTAAGCACCACCTGCTCACAGCCTCCTCGCGGAGTGGGAAGCGCAGAAGTTGCACGGGACCACGGCATGCCCGAGCCTCCAAACACGTCTGGATTATGAATGAGGGAACTCAGGCGCAGAGAGATGCTGAAAGGCGTTAGGTGCCCAAATGTGCAAGGAAATGAGACTCTTAAATAGGAATGGAATTAACTTCCCTGCTCACCAGCCAGGCAGGTACATCTGCACTGCCTTCATTACACAGAGAAATAACAGTGTAGACAAGAAGCACCTGCTTTTAAGGGTATTTTTGGCACTTCAGCCTGGGTCCGCCTATCTCAGACGCTTGATTGAGGCTGTTAAATAGTGGCCATTTGGCAAACCAAGCCCCTCTAGAGAAGCCCATCACCCTCCATTGACTACAGCACTCCTGACCACCGTCACCTCAGCTACATGTCAGCAGTCTGATGGCAGAATTGCATCGCTGGCTTCCCAAAACATTAATTCCCTAGAGCTGAGCCAGGCAGCTGTGCCAGGACGGAGGGGAGCCAGGGCTGCCCCTGCCCGCTGCAGGCTGCCCACCTGCCCCAATACGTCCCGCTCCCGGCCTGCCCCACAGGCAAAGCTGGCTCGTGGTGTGTCTCACTCATTTGCTGCTCAATGAAGATAATAATTGCAATCACGGTTAAGTAATCTCCAGATAGGGCACTGGATGTATAAATTCTAACACCAAAACAGCCGCAGACACACCCACGCCATCATGTTCTCGCTCATGTCCCCAGAAGAGGCTTTTTAGAAAATTAAACTTGGTAGAGGCATGTAAAAACCTTTCATCTCTATGAATATGAGTTCAGACAGCAAGCATAAGGAAATATAATAATTTGCATAACAAATATACATCACAAGAAAATGCATAATCAGCACACACTCGGTGGATATTTTTGGTAATGCAGGAGTGCAGAGGTAGCAACCTGAACAGTTAAAAAAAAAAAAAAAAATCGGTATATCAGTGTGCTTTCTCCTGATCTAGATTGGGAAATTTAGCAAGGCATTCTGTGCATGTGCTTTTTGTATTTAGCACTAATTAGCAAGGTTAATCCAAGATCTGTCTTGATCTTCCCAGCTGCTGTGAAGCACCTTCACTGACTACACGACACTTTACACTGCCAATTTTTAGTGATCAAAATCTTAACTGCAGTTTTGTCTGCGTTTTTTGTAAAGATGCGGCACTGTCTTTAAAATCATAAAGTTTAAAAAGAATCCATAAATAATAATAGCATTTAACAATCATTTGCGGATGGTGTTTGCTCTTCTGGGTAGGAAATGACTTCTGATCTCTGAAATCCAGGGTCATATTTGGTTAACATTTTAAACTTTTCTCTGGATCAGGAAGATAAGTACCTAACCTTTTCTTTTCATTTTTCTTCTCTTTCTTTCTTTCTTTCTTCTCTCTCTCTCTCTTTCCTTCCTTCCATCATTTCTTTCTTTTCTTTTCTATTTTTTTTAATGAAGCTGAGATTTTTTAATGAAGCTGAGATTTGCCTAAAATGTGATTACAGCAACCAGACTGTTGTGTTTTTTTACTTGCTAGATTGGTGATATTACTGCAGCAGAGCAGTCTAATGGCACCTGTGATAGCCTACACAACAACAACTGTGCTATTGCCTATTTGCACTAAAGTAAGCCCAGTGTCCCATGGCTGATGTCAGGTCCCTCTTCTGCTACAGCTGAGTTTCTGTCTGATAGGATAGAATGCAACAGAATGGAGAGATCGAGAAAACACATTTTATTGCCCCTTTGTTCCTGGGAAACTAAGGCACAGCAAAAAATGTACGGTATGTCATTATAAATCTTTCCTATCAAGCAAAATGGGTTTCAGTGTTACCACAGGAATATTTTGCCCAGTTTCTCAAGTGAGTGTTGCTGTGGCTCTGCATCAAGCCCAGCCTCCCCTCATTCCCAGGGCCATGCTGTGTGTGCCTTCCCACAGCCACCTGCTGCACATCACCACCAGGTCCACGCGTCGCATCCCAAGTGAGCACTGACGCCTCACTGACTGGAAATATCTTGCGCTGATCTTCTCAGGCCTCTCTCATGGAGAAAACATCTTGAGGTCAGGAAAGCAAATGTTTCCAGGATGCCCCCTCTGCAGCTGTCCTGATGAGGTTCAGGGAGGGATGCGAGGAGAATGAGCTGTTTTTCCCCTCTGAGCGGTCCCTGTGGTAACAGTAACTGGTGGGGTCCTTGCCCCAGCACCACCAACCTTCATGCATTGTTCCACATCAAGACAGAGATAAGGGATGGCAGAAGCCTACACAAATCCTGGAGAAGGCTGTGTTATCTGCATGTGCATTGCCATGAAATGAATTCATACCGAGTGTGCTCACAAGCAGTCATTAAAGAACACTTCACTGAGCCGTTTTGCTCTTCTTCCCCACGCTCATAGCTTACATCCTTCTGACAAGCGGAACATTCAAACCTTCTGTCATTCCAGTGCAAACTTCATGAAATTAAGTGGTTTACATAGCTACAGCCAAAGGTTAAATTCACATATTTTCCTGCTGACTTCACTGGTTTTAACCTTTGAAGTTTGGTTGTGAAAATCCCTCGCCCTCCCACGTAAAACAAACAGAAAAACTCAGAGAGCCGTTCTGTATGGGATTACACCGGGATGTTTGAGAAGGTATTATCTTTGTTTCTCTCAAAGTGCTGCAAAAATGGTTTGCATCCCTGTAAAAACCCAAGACGTGCCTTTCCTACACACACTTGTGTACACATCTGCACAGGGGCAGGGCGGAGGGACAAAGTGCAGACCCTCCAGTTCTAAGATACACTTGTGCCATTCCTCTGCCAGCCTATGTGATACACCGCCTCTCACAGCCACAGCTACTTATTTGTATCCAAAAATGCCTCTTGAGCAGGGAAGACTCCCAGCAGGACAAGGACAGGACCGGGATGTGCTGGTACACCAGGACCAGTGGCAGTCCTACACAGACCGCTGAGAGCAGCACCGGTATGGGGAGCTGCTGTGCACCTCAGGGGCACAGCCCTGCAGAGGAGTCGTCCTGGTCACAGCTACCTGGAGGAAGGATGGCAAGATGCAAAGGGAAGGAAGTTTAAAGGTGTCTTCAATAGTTGAAAGGTTTGTTCTTGAATCAGGTTAAATAAACGGACAAGAGCCTTATGCCTAAACTAAAGTGTTTAATTCATGTGGCTAAACTTGAGACTGGGAAGGCACTGAGCACTCACAGCTGTTGAGAGTTCCTTGTCAAAACTCAGCCTTACCCATCTCTCATTAAGGGTCTCCTCTTGCTCTAGGACATGTTTGTGCTAATAAAGACAAGGTTTTGTATGCCACATAGGCTGAGCAACACAGAGGGGCAGAGCTCTACAGAAAGGGCTTCTTGGAGATTACCTCTCAGAGAAGGGATGTTGGAGCAGGCCGGGGTTGTTTTCCAGGAACGTGGTACATAAAATGGCATTCAGTATTCTCCAGTGAGGGCTGCTGTTTGGAACAACAAACATATTTTTGCTCAGTTTAGGTGCATCCACCTCCTTAGTCTTTAGCATTCTCCTGATGGGAACACGAAATGCCTATAAAATCAAATGTATCTAAATTCTGCCAAGATCTGCAGCATCTGGAGCTGAACACAATGTGCCCTGCGGCCTGGATCTGTTGGAGTTCCAGGCCCACTCTGATGCCTGCTCTGAACTTGAGCAGCTCATTGAGAAGAGCTGAGAGCACAAGTGCCACTGCCTCCTGCTCAGAAAACATCCTCATTACAGAAAACATTAATATTGGTAGCAAACAATCAATTAGAGGAACAAAGGAAGAGTTCAGAGCCAAGACTAGAAATGCAGCTGCATCTGTTCCTGTTTTGTCATGAGTGTCACCTTGTGTTTCTTGAAGGTCAGATCCTGCTCTCAATGCATAGGCATCGGTGAGAACTGCGTGCATACAGCAAGGAGAGAGTGAGATCCTGTAGCAAAATCATTTCTGGGCACTTCTCGGGCCTGATGACAACGCTTCTGACAAGGGAAGAGATGCAGAAGCACATCCATCGATGCAGTAGATAGCATATGTCAACATCAGCGCTTCCCGTGTTTATGAAGAATTTGATTGAATAAAAGGCTTGGCAATAAACTACATGAGTGATTCCAGATTGCAGCACACATATCCATCACATGCCTTTTCTCCCCCAGAGGATTATATTTCACCAAATTGGTGACACGTGCTAAGTGCCGCAGACTGCCGACCACACACGCAGCACAACGGTTCCCTCACTGCTCCTTCCCAAGAGCAGAAATCCTCTGGGTTCCCCAAAGCCACTGCATTTCACGTAAGTACCTTCCTCTGCCTTCTGTGGGAACTCGGCAGGGATATATGAACTTGTGATAGTAAAACGTAATTTGTTCAGATCCTTGCCTTCAGGGTGAACACTAAGATGCTGCCATCAGCCAGAAAATTTGTGATCTAATCTAGAGGCAGCGAGGCATGCCTTTTCTCCGAGGCTTTTGGAAAACAGAGCTGGGTTCCCACTTTTACATGAGCTAGCAATTTTATTTTATTTTTTGAAGAGCTAAACACTGTTCATCTTTGCTCCACGGGGCAACGGGCTGAGACAGAAAATCAGGCACATTACAGAGGGCTCTTGGCCTCTCTATCAGCAGTTCCATGCCCCAGATGGAAAGGCAGGTCCCATAGGGATATCGAGTTTGGTGCTGGGGTCCTGCCAGCCCTGTACCTCAGCTGCTGCATGTGATGGTCAGTCACAGCCACCGGAAAGGGGGAAAAGTGCATTTTTGCAATTCATTTTTGTCATAGCTGCCACATTATGTGTTTAGATGGCTGTTCTACAATTTTCCGTGCACTTTCTCCTTAGCTCTCCATTGTCAGGAGTGGTGCAGAATAATACAGCTATAATGAGTGATAGGAGGTTTCAGCTGCAATTTTAATGCACAGCATCCCATTTCACCTGTTTAACCCTGCCTCCTGTGGAGCGTTAGAAATGGGCTTAGATATCTCACGCAAACAGGCCAGGGATCTTTTTTTTTTTTTTTTTTCTCTCCCCTTTTTTAGAAGATTTCTGGGTAAAGTCTGCTTCTTCTAGCCAAGCTAAATATTCTGCAGAAAGAGTCTTTCACTGCAAGGCAGCACTTGGAAAGGTTTCCTAAAGGTCACAGAATGGAACCGAGAGTTTGAGCTCCTGAGATTTACACTTAGCTCTTGCCCTGAGCAGCGATGTGTTACAGGGCTTTGCTCTCCTTTGCCCTGGTGTACAGGGACAAGTGAGAACCACGGGGTTGGAGGTGGCAGTCCATCCAGGTTGTCCTTGCCTGTCCAGCTGCAGCCAGGACACAAGCCCCACCACACAGCCCTGGGATGATGGTTTTGTGAGGGAGGCACCACCCCAGGCCCTGGCAGTTTGGATGAGGAGCTCCTTGGTAGAGGGGCTTTCAGAGATAGCACTGCCCTGTTCCCAGCTGATCTCCCACATAATTTCCTGTGGTGATTTTGTCCCTAGGAGATCACCCAGAAGATGAGCACTACAGAATTATGGCCTTCATCGGTAAGCACTGGATTTGGGGCAAACAAATTAGAAACATCCCATGCTTTGACAGATCCATCCCTTCTCCTAAGGGCAAAAGTTTCCCCTTTCCACCTTTTTTTCCCTAGGGGCTACAGGAGACTCAGCAGCGAGGTGATGCATGCCATCTTTGCTCACTGAGGCAGTGCTGTACTTTTGGCCACAGGGAGCTCCCAGCTGTGCCAGTCACCAAAAGACGGGAGTTTCACTTAAAATCATCACCATTCCTCCTCGCTCCCTGGGGTTTCTCCTGTGCGGGGTGGGGACACGGAGACACAAACCTGAGGCACGGAGAGGAAACGGAGCTGGTCAGCGGCAGGAGCTCAGCACTAACTGAGGAGGAAGCACTGTGGGTTGAGCGGGATAACGCTTCAGAGATGGAGGTGTCCTACAGCAGCTCCCTGCTGCTCGGAACCTGCGCCCGTCCCCTGAAACCGCTTCAGTGGGCCTTCGGGATACTCTGGACTTAAAAAGAAAACAAAACAGACTATCCCTTGTGGATCCCAGTTGCCAGAGAGCTTCTTAGCCACGCCATAAAAACGTTTTCTAAGCGTTTTTACATTCTTCCCTGCCATTCACCACACGAACACGAATTTCAGCAGGCATCGCGTGGCAGCCAACAAACGAGAAGCTACGGGGGGCCCCGCTCGGCAGCCACCTCCTGCACCCCAAGACCACCCCAAGGACCACCGGGGCCCCCGGGGGACGTCAGGGACCAAGGGACAGGGGGACCGGGGGCTGGCGGCACCCGGGGACAGCGGGGCCCGGGTCTCGGCTGTCCTGAGGCGGGCGGCGGCCGCGGCGCCTCAGCGGGGGCCGGGCGCCACCTGGCGGCGGCTGCGGCGCGGGGCCGGCCGCCTGGTTGGGGTCTGTGAGGTGATTTTTTTTATTTTTTTTTCCAGCCCTTTTTTCCCCTCGTTTTCAGTCAGCTGCCGCCTCTGCCCCGCTCCTCTGGGAGCACGGTAGATGGGAGGCGAGGCTGTGAGAGGATTAAAGGGGTGGAAGGTGGGGGAGAGGTGGGAGATGACCACACGCCACACTACAAGTACCAGGTGTTTTGAGGTGCCACCGTGAGCCCGGCAAGGCCATGGCCAAGGGTGGCAATGGCAGCTGTGTGGCCTCTCACAGGCACCCTTGTCTCCTCAGTACCCCCAGGGCCTCAGCTTTGGCACACCTTGGGCAAAATTTGGCTGAGGTTTCTCCTCATGGGGAAGGAGGAAAGCTTCCCTTGGACTGTGACCACCAGCACCCTGTTTGAGCCCTCCACCGCCAGCTTCACCTGGTGAAAAACAGCCAAAGACAGACCCCATAGTACCGTTTTTATGGCCTCAGCACCTGAAGCACCATCCATGGACCTCCTAGCACTCCTCCACCGCTTTGTGAAATGGGGGGAGAGAAGAGGATTAATATTAAATTACCAAATGCTCTCCACCTGAGCTTCTCACCTTCCACAGCAGCACTGACTCGCTCTGATGAGCTGCTCGGCTGCCAGATGAGTGACCCTCATGGGTGATTTCCACAGCCCCATGGCCACTGCTGGCCTGGTGAGGTCTCGGTGGGCCCCACGTTGCCCTCGTCCCGTGCCTGGGCCAGTGGCAGCAGCACGAGGCAGGGGCAGCGCATGATGTGCAGCCCTGGGCGCAGTGAGGTCAGGGAGAAATTTCACTGCTGGCTTCAGTGAGCAGGGTTTCACTCCTGGAATTGTACATCTGGAATAGGAGAGACCGCTTGGGTTGTGTTTGTAAGACACTTTACTTGGTGGTTGAAGAGCTTTTGCCAATACCAGGCTGGGACCACTCCTGGAGCACCCTCAGGCAGGGGGAGGTCAGCGCACAGGCACGGAGATGGGTTTGGACACTGAGACCTTAAACACCTCTGCAGAACCAGCTGTAAGCCCAGCAGACAGAGGGGAGAGAGCTGCGTGATGCCCATTCCTTGTTTCCAATGGACCTTGTGCGTCTCATTCAGAAAGCGGTGGAATAAAAGCTGGCAGAAAGGACTTACAGGCGTTTATGTTCAGTTCCTGCTCTGAAGGAAATAAACTCTTCTGGCAATTAGAGGGAGTCAGCAGTATCCTGGAGAGCGTAAACACTTGGAACCAGTAATTACAGATACCACTTCCCCATCTGAGCTGCTGAATGACTGCTGCCATCTGATACCCCTCCACCCCCTCCACTTTTCTACTTATTCAAAAAACAAAAGAAAAAAAAAAAAAACACACACACATTATGCATTGCCTGAGCAATCACAACCCACCATCTGAGACACATTGGACTGTCTCACTGTTTATATCATGTCAGTAAAGATGGTGTGAAATATACTGGTTTAAGCCATTCACATAGAATTGTGTCATCCAACTCCACAGGCTAACAGACCTAAGAATATGTTAGGCCCTAAACTGACGTTACTGTGGACTCATGACTATGCAGCACTGTTGGCTTTCAAGGTGAGAAAAGCTGGAATGTAGAAATGGAAATTTGGATTCAACTCTCTGCCATTCCCCGAGGTACCCACGGTTGATTTTGGAGACTCTTCCCAGCACCACAGCCTGAACATACAGACTAGATAGTCCACAGGGTCTAGAGTGAATATTTGTAATCTTGGGAGGGTTGCTCAGCCTCCTAACTGTGACAAGGGAATGCAGACAACTGCTGCAGAGGCTTTGTGGGCCTCTCGGATAAATGAATTAAGCCAACTGCAAAGTTTCCCCTATCGCTTTTCAGACATCTCAGGGAACAAATCTGTCACCATAGTGTTTTGCTGCCAGCCCAGGACAGCAGAGATAAGATGCAGGATATGCCCAGAAGCAGCCTGCTTGGCATGAGCTGGCCTGCAGCTGGGAAGCTATCAACTGACTTTTGTGGATGCCTTGTTCAAACATTCACATTTCTCTGCTGACCCCATTCATATTTGTCTGCGTGTTTAAACCACTATAGCTGGTTGAGAGGGAAGGGGGTGATTCCAGACCACAAAGTGTGATGCTACTGATGCTCCGAGCTCACGACCCCAAGGAGGATCACAGCTGGTTCAGGGCTGGGGCACTCGGCATGAACAGGGACTACAGCAAGCATGAAGCTTACCGGGCTCTACATTACGTCGTGATCAGTGCTGTACACCTGAACAGTGTCTTACCTCAGAAGTGCTCTTTGGAGAGTGTTAGCACAATCTCAGCCCCTCCTGAGGATGCACTAAACAGAGTGCTGTTCCCATATAACAGGTGAGTGAGATGCAGACAAATGGAGTCACTTGCCCAAATGTCACTCCACATGTCCCACCAGCAAACTCAGCACCAGCAGTTACACCCAGCCCCTATGACTTTGATTCTAGCTGTTTTCCACCAGATGGAAGTGGCTTAAGGCTTGAAATCTCACCAAAGTTGCGTGATAGAGGGTCTTTCCAGTACGGGAAAGTTTTTGTATGATATAAAATTACAGCTTTCCAGAAAGCTGAATTTCCAAATTTCATGGGAAATACTGACATCTCAATTTATTTATTTTTTCTCACAGTTAAGAGAAAAGTAAACTCCTTCACGAGACAGAAACATGAAATTGTTCTGTTTCCATACGGTTGAACCACTTCATTTTGATGATGTCAAAACAGCCTAAAATATTTATACACAAAAGAGTAAACAGATTGACCATTTTAATAAGCCAGAATGAAATTAATTTGCACAAGGAAGTCAGAATGATTTGTTTTGACTTTCTCCTTTAAAAATTGTCAAATCACCAGAAACCTGAGATTTCAACACTAACAAAACTGCCTTTCCCCAAAGGTAATTCTTCCAGCCTGTGTTTTAGACTGGCTCTTCGTAGAACAACCAGACTGACTTCAGCCCCATCAATACCCATTGCTTCGCAGATATACAGAATCATAGAATCACAGAATGGTTTGGGTTGGAAGGGACCTTAAAGATCATTTCATTCCAACCTGCTGCCATGGGCAGGGACACCACCACACCCCTGACAAAAAGTCCCTCCTCAGCTTTCCTGTAGACCCTCTTTGGGAACTGGAAGGCCACTGTAAGTTCTCCCCAGAGCCTTCTCTTCCCCAGGCTGAACAACCCCAAATCTGCCTGTCTTTATAGGAGAGGCCCTTCAGCCCCTTGACCATCTTTGTCTCTGCTGGACTCTGCTGTATGGCCTTTTCCCACTTTAGCACCGTATTTTATGTTTCACAAAATTTCTTCCTCATCCTATCAAGTTGTGCCCTGAAATATGAAAATAGATCAATTCAGAGAGGACAATTTTATTTCAAACCTTGTTTTTTGTTTTCATAAATGTCTCCTGTTTAAGGTTCTTAGCTGTTTGCATACTAAATAGCCTGCCTTGTTTCCATTTTGCCACATCTTTGTATTATATTACTTTTACAGCTGACAACCGCTTTTATACTGTGGGAACACTGTAGTGTCAAAAGCAGATTGAATTTGCTGATTGTTGGAGTTCTTTGTGCTGCTCGCACAAAATTCCTTTCCCCTATAATACATCTGTTGTTTGTATATTCGATAAAGTTAATATCTGTGAAATCAGTCATTTCCCCTAGGTCTAAATTATACTGCAACAGACAGAAGATTGACTTCATTGTATTGACAAGAGAGAACTCTCGATGCTTATTATTTGTGGTGACTTGGAGAGATTACAAAAAGCACACAGAATGGCTTTATCAGGGGAGTATATTTCTATAAAAGCTGATAAGGTGATGTGTGCACAAACTTCAACTTTTCTTGAATTTTGCTGAGGAAGAACTAAAGGAATAGCATAAATCAATGTATCATACCCTTCCTCTCTTCATGCCAGTATCCTGTTTAACACTGATCTCGTGCAATATTTATGTCTACATAAATAATTCAGGAACTAATTAATCCAATTCTTTTATAATTGCCTCTTATAATGGCATACAGCCCAAATCCCAGCAGCTTAATTGCTACTTAATGGAGATATTTATGACACCAACACTAGTAAAGAGTATAGGCGCTCTCAGTTATTTCAATTAGGAATGAGGCTTAAGCTACTAAACTCTTTGGATTTCAAACACCTCTGAAGTTCTGGAGTTTGGCGACGCACAGGTTTTTCATTTCAAAGCAGGAGTTTTTAGCTCTTGTATTTCATGTGACCATATTATCGGGGCACAGGACTTAGCACTCATTTCTTGCAAGATAACAAAACTGCAGTACCATTTCTCTGCTGCTCGGACTCTAGCAGGAGGGCTATGTGTAATTTTGGCCTGATACTGCAAGGTACAACCAGGTTCATCCAGAACACCTCGTGGACATAACCAGAGCACAGATCACCCCGAGCTCAATCTGTAAGCCTTGCTCAGCGTGTGGGAGCAGCTTGAACATTAAGGACATCTCAGATGGGAACAGGATGGCATACACCACCAATCCTGTCTTAATGAACCTCTTGACAACCCAATTAGATGCTTAGGAGAAAATCATTAAAACGGGGCTAAGTGCCTGCAGCAGGGTTCTCCTACAGGAATGGGAGCCCTGTGCCCAGTGGTTCCGCACCGCCCTGGCTGGTCCTGCAGAAGGGAGGATGAAGGTCTGGGATTTTTCTAGGCTGGACAAGTTTAGGAATTGGTTGTGTTTATTTGCCACATGCAAATACAAGGTTTAATAAAGCACAACCTTGCTGTAGATGCAGATAGAGTAATTAGCGAGTATTTATAATAGTTACCTGCAAGGATTGGATAACCAACTCTGTCAACTAAGAGTAGATTAGAAAACACTTGGAAAGGTCAATCAAGTATAAAGGAAGCCTCCAGGGCATAGCATGGAGCTTTTGCCACAGTCACGTCTGTTGACATTCCGCTGTCTTATTTTATGGGGCCATTTAATTAGGGAATTAAGATCACAAGCAGTCATGAATAATCAGGGATCACTGGTCACAACCTTTTTTTCTGCAGTCTATGTCTCCATAGTGGAACACTGCCTTGATTTTGGAAATAAGGGAAAATTAGCTCGCCGCTGTTTCAGCTCATCCCCATTTCAGCTTAGCAGGCTTGTGATTTTCCCATCATCCCTTCAGAGGAAAAATCAAGAGAAACCTCGCAAAAAAGAACAAATGTTTAAGGGGCCTATCTAATTTGATAGTCTTTCTCTTAAACACGCTTTCAAGCGAGTAGGATATTTCCAGAGCACAGTTGGACACACAGTGCCTGCTATATGAGCATCTCGCGAGGTTGTCTCGCACAACACTTAAAATAAACCTCCCTGAAAATATGTGAGTATTCCTCGGAGTGCCATATAATTAAACTGGTGGCGTCTTCCCCTTGCGTACATCGCTCAGCTCTCGGGGTAGCAGCACTTGTGCTCGCATGGCTCAGCTTTGAGAGTAAGGGAAGGGAGACAGCCTGGAGCAGCACCCCGTGCCCTCCA